TGTGTATGTGTGTGTGTGTGTGTGTGTGTGTGTGTGTGTGTGAGTGTGAGTGTTATCTTGTGTTTGTTTGATGTATTCTGTGTGAATATCCGGACGTGTGCTGGCGTTCGCTGCAAGTGTTTGTTTGGAGGTCACGGGTAAAATAATTCAGAAAGGAGCTTCACATGAAGGTGAGAATGAGAAATGAGGTTTTTCTTCCATTCTTTTGAACGTGTTTTAGAGGGGATAATCTGATTATGGAATCTTTGTTTTTTGAGCTTCAGTGTCTCTGCGGATACTTCAAACATGAGTGACATAAAGAGAAATCTCACATTTATTTCCACAAGCACCTGCATGAATACATATAACCCTCTCTTTCACACACAGATTGAATTTGAGTATGACTTTTCACTGGCGATTTTTGCCATCATAATAGTTTGAGCTAACAGTAATGACCCTTAAAAGACACCTGAACTCCACATGAGTGTGTGTGATGGATTATCTCTCAGGATGTCGTTACGGTGAAGCTGCTCTCTGGCCTTCTTACATAATGAGTCTGGAGTGACCTATTAAATATCAGTTCACACAAACACATCGACTCGCTCTCATTGTACTTCAGTCTCGTTTCCTCCTGCTGTCGTTCAAAATGAGACATAAATCAAGCTCAAAATGAAAAGTTAGAGCAATGAAAGTCTCCCAGAGACTCTGACAAATATTAATGTAACTTGAGCAAACGCCGAGACCGAGAAAAAGATAAATGAGGTTTTGTAGGTTCAGGAGGGTTTGTGTTCTTATAGGCCGTGGTCATTATTCACAATATTCCCTTGTTTACTTGCTCATTGACTGACATTTTCTTTTTCTTTTTCTCCCTCCCTTCTCTCTTTATTTGCTTGCAGATGTGACCAAGAGTTTTCAGAAAGGTAAGACACTCGCTTTCTCTTACATTTGTTCTGATGCGTGAATGACATCAGTGTTAAACACTATATGCCAGGGGTGGCGAACTCCGGTCCTGGAGAGCCGCAGCCCTGCAGAGTTCAGCTCCAACCCTAATGAAAACTCACCTGCCTGTAGCTTCCTAGTAACCCTTCAGACCTTGATTAGCTTGTTCAGGTGTGTTTGATTAGGGTTGAAGCAAACCTCTGCAGGGCTGCGGCTCTCCAGGACCGACGTTCGCCACCCCTGCTATATGCAGTCGAGTTCTGTGCAGAAGTGACAATTATCAGTGGCAAAATTTTCATATTTTTTTATCTTTTGGTGCTATTTCCAAATGGTGCCCCTCAACAGTGAACACTTTAAAAATGTGGACTGTTTAAAAACACACACCTGTTATGTTCACGTCAAAAAATAACTTTATAGACTTCAGTGTAACTTCAGAAAATTCACAGCGTTTTCCTATTGATTTTGTGTGTGAAAACTGGTATATGCTCATCTAGATGTTTTCACAGTAGTCTTAAGCTAATGTGGAAAAATTTTACCTGGCTTACCACCTATGTGTTAGTAGTGGTACTGCATTTATATTAATATATATATATACATATTTATAATATATTTATATTTATAACTAATATAATTAAAAATAAAATAAAATAAAATACAGTATATATTTTAGCAAAAACCCTTCTATAAGGGGATAGAAATCCATGAAAACTTCCCACCATTACTGAAAAACCGATATGTGTGTGTGTGTGTGTGTGTGTGTTTGTGTGTGTGTCCGTTGACCCCATGTGAGACAAACACAAACTCTTTTCTTTCCCTGCTGCTGTGCCTCAAATGTGAATTTTATTGAAATGTAAATTTAGCTCACCACAAGAGACAATGTACAAAATGATTATTATAAATAATAATTAGCAAGTTACGTTTTCCCCATAATATATGGGCTGGAAAATACAGGTTATTTATCAAAAGAATGATTTCTCATGGGAGTATGTGGATATTTGGGTGCATTGAAGAAATAATATTTGATGCGTCAGAGATAGATGCAGCGCCTCACATTACAAACAAAAGCACTTCTGCTCTGTGCAATACTTACATGTGCCTGCAGTAAGAGCTTTTTTCACCTGTTTGTGTGGACACGCCTGGATGAACAGGAAGTCTGGAGTGACTGTGGGGTCAGTTGCTCGACTCTCCACAAAAAAATCAATCTGCAAACTTTCTCCAACCACCATTACGGATCCGATCAGTGACCTATTTACAGCTCAACACCTGCTGGAAACAAAATGGTGCAGAAGTTTCCAGAGAGCGCAGAGGGGAATCTGTGTGTGTGTTTGGAAACCGAGCCCAGAAACACACTGGAATGACAGAGATAGAATCAGGAGAGAGGAGAGGAGAGGAGAGGAGAGGAGAAGAGAGTGAATAATAAGGGCCCAGGGGAAAAGAACAGATGGACATTTAGAGAAAGGGAGAGAGAAGAGAAAGAACGAGAGGGAAGATTGTCAGACGTGATGCCAAGACTCTGTAGGGGACACACACATACTCAATGCTCATTAAAGCGGCAGCATTCTGAAGTTTGGTGGGAATTTCAGAAGGTTAAAATGACATCATATTATGTATTGTTTTCATCAGATTTTTAGTATACTCGACTAGATCAGGGTAGATGAGCAGCACTGTGAACTCACAAAGACAAAAGGATTGGGGAATGACTGTATTTGGCAGTTTGTCTGTATTAGGTGGCTAATTGTCCTTTAGCACAAATAATTCTGTTTTGAAATCAGACCTGAGGTGTTGTAAGATCAGACTTGATTCTTTTCTATTCTCGATTCTATTCTATTCTGAGATCAGACCCGAGATGATTCTGTTCTGACATCAGAGCTGAAATTATTCTATTGTGAAATCAGACCTGACATTATTCTGTTCTGAAATCAGACCTGAACTGCTTCTGTCCTGAGATAAGACCCAAGGTGATATGAGATCAGACCTGAGGTGATTCTATTTTTAAATCAGACCCAAACTAATTCTGTTTTGAGATCAGACCTGAGACAATCCTCTTGTAAGATCAGACCTGATGAGGTCAGACCTGAGGTGATTCTATTCAGAGATCAGACCTGAGGTGATTCTGGTTTGAAATCAGACCCGAGATGATTCTGTTCTGAGGTCAGACCTGAGGTGTTATAAGATCAGATCAGACCTGAGCTGATTCTGTTCTGAGGTCATACCCAAGATCTGATTAGATGATTATGTTCTGACATCAGTCCTGAGATTATTCTGAAATCAGACCTGACCTGATTCTGTTGAGATCAGACCTGAGGTGATTATATTCTCAAATCAGACTTGAGCTGATTTTGTTGAGATCAGATCTGAGGTTATTTTGTTCTGAAATCAAACCTGAACTGCTTCTGTCCTGAGATCAGATCCAAGGTGATATGAGATCAGACATGAGGTGATTCTATTTTTAAATCAGACCCAAACTGATTCTATTCTGAGATCAGACCTGAGGTGATTATGTTCTGAAATCAGACCTGAGGTGTTATAAGATCAGACCTGAGCAGATTCTGTTCTGAGGTCATACCTGAGATGATTCTGTTCTGAAATCAGACCTGAACTGCTTCTGTCCTGAGATCAGATCCAAGGTGATATGAGAGCAGACCTGATGTGATTCTATTTTTAAATCAGACCCAAAGCTGATTTTGTTCTGAGATCAGACCAGAGATGATTCTGTTCTGAGATCAGACCATAGATGGTATTTTTCTGATATCAGACCTGATATTCTTCTTTTCTAATATCAGACCTGAGGTGATTCTGTTCTGAGTTCAGACCTTACCTGATTCTTTTCTGATATCAGACCTGAGCGGATTCTGTTGAGATCAGACCTGATGTTATTCTGTTCTGAGATCAGACCTGAGATGATTCTGTTCTGAGATCAGACCTGAGGTGATATGAGATCAGACCTGAGCTGATTCTGTTCTGAAATCAGACCTGAGCTGATTTTGTTCTAAGATCAGACCCAACCTGATTCCCTGAATTGAACCCTTGATGCTGGTGTTGCTAGCGCCATGCTCTACAGTTTGAGCTACAGAAATCAGCTAGCTCTGCTGTGATTTAATATCTGAGTTGGTTTTTCTTCTGGTATCAGCCCTGAGGTGTTTCTGTCAGTGTGTCTCCAGCAGGTGGATTGTGTGAGTTATCATCACATTATTGGAGTAAAAATTTGATTTCAAACTAAAATCTCTGAAATATCTGTTTGTCCAGATTGAGGGAGACACTGATCATAAATTACTACTTTGATATGAGAAATTTCACAGGATTTGATTAGACACTTTAAAGAGAACAGGATATGTATATTTCAACCTGCTTATTGTAAAAATACCCTGCAGTTCAGTTTTCACAACAAAGCTAGAGAGATAGAGATAGAGGGGGGGAGAAGAAGGAGGGAGGGTTTGGTCTCCAGGGTCTAGGCCTCTTCCTTTTGTCTCTATTTTTAGAAGCTGTAGAAACTTGTGGAAATGTGAACTGAAGCTGGTTTCTGTAACCTGCTCTCTGCACAGCTCATGCTCTCAGCTGTTATAATGGAATTAATGAATTTCTCCTCATTTTCATTTAATGTATCTGGTAATTAATAAAGCCTGGTCAAAGCGATTCAAGGGAACACTGGCCTCAAAAGGAAGCAAGTTACGTTTTCCCCATAATATATGGGCTGGAAAATACAGGTTATTTATCAAAAGAATGATTTCTCATGGGAGTATGTGGATATTTGGGTGCATTGAAGAAATAATATTTGATGCGTCAGAGATAGATGCAGCGCCTCACATTACAAACAAAAGCACTTCTGCTCTGTGCAATACTTACATGTGCCTGCAGTAAGAGCTTTTTTCACCTGTTTGTGTGGACACGCCTGGATGAACAGGAAGTCTGGAGTGACTGTGGGGTCAGTTGCTCGACTCTCCACAAAAAAATCAATCTGCAAACTTTCTCCAACCACCATTACGGATCCGATCAGTGACCTATTTACAGCTCAACACCTGCTGGAAACAAAATGGTGCAGAAGTTTCCAGAGAGCGCAGAGGGGAATCTGTGTGTGTGTTTGGAAACCGAGCCCAGAAACACACTGGAATGACAGAGATAGAATCAGGAGAGAGGAGAGGAGAGGTGAGGAGAGGAGAAGAGAGTGAATAATAAGCTGAGATCAGATCCAAGGTGATATGAGATCAGACATGAGGTGATTCTATTTTTAAATCAGACCCAAACTGATTCTATTCTGAGATCAGACCTGAGGTGATTATGTTCTGAAATCAGACCTGAGGTGTTATAAGATCAGACCTGAGCAGATTCTGTTCTGAGGTCATACCTGAGATGATTCTGTTCTGAAATCAGACCTGAACTGCTTCTGTCCTGAGATCAGATCCAAGGTGATATGAGAGCAGACCTGATGTGATTCTATTTTTAAATCAGACCCAAAGCTGATTTTGTTCTGAGATCAGACCCGAGATGATTCTGTTCTGAGATCAGACCATAGATGGTATTTTTCTGATATCAGACCTGATATTCTTCTTTTCTAATATCAGACCTGAGGTGATTCTGTTCTGAGTTCAGACCTTACCTGATTCTTTTCTGATATCAGACCTGAGCGGATTCTGTTGAGATCAGACCTGATGTTATTCTGTTCTGAGATCAGACCTGAGATGATTCTGTTCTGAGATCAGACCTGAGGTGATATGAGATCAGACCTGAGCTGATTCTGTTCTGAAATCAGACCTGAGCTGATTTTGTTCTAAGATCAGACCCAACCTGATTCCCTGAATTGAACCCTTGATGCTGGTGTTGCTAGCGCCATGCTCTACAGTTTGAGCTACAGAAATCAGCTAGCTCTGCTGTGATTTAATATCTGAGTTGGTTTTTCTTCTGGTATCAGCCCTGAGGTGTTTCTGTCAGTGTGTCTCCAGCAGGTGGATTGTGTGAGTTATCATCACATTATTGGAGTAAAAAT